ACTTTCTAATCACCTGCTTATTTTCAGTTATTTACGAATTAGTCACGTAAATCATAATTAATTTACCAACAATTATCTGACTTAAAGGAAGAATGAACACACAGCCGCACGCCCTGTAGAAACACAACCTGAATAACAATACAACCGATTTAATTATTTTATATTAACTTCTAAAGCGAGAATGGGAATGGATCAATTTTTTCATTATCCATTCTTTCTGTTACTTTATAAGAAGTAACTAATTTCCAAATAAACGCTTCACTTCACCTCTTCGTAAAACAAAGATTTAATGAGGAATGTGAATGAAACTGTAAGTAGTCAATGGTCAATTGAATAATTTCTTCATGATTTTTTTCCATAAGAATCCTCGGAAAAATAAACAAAAACGTGGATGATAAGCGACGATTAAATCATTTATTGCTCATGAATGGATGTCATTGTCTTCGTAAATGAGATCTCAGAAGGAATGATATGATTTAGACAAGAACTTTACCGCTGAAAATCAAGGCTTATGTTATTAACTAACCTCTTAATTTTGTAGTAAACGAAGGAAAAAAAGAAAACATGAATTCTTTTTTTGGGAGGGAATAAAAATCATAATGAAGCATAATCTGGAGAAGATCAAGTCATTTGATTTAAAATAAGCATGCCGCACGGTGAAGTAGTAGACAATAGACAGATGTTTGGAAATAAATGAATAACATGATGTAAGATATGTCAAATTACACCAAGCAAAAAGCTGTAAGGTTCTGCACAACATACCTGTCACCTGTTATTGGCATAAAACTACCTAGGCGTATTTCACGCATGGCAAGGTTCAGAATCGAACCCAAAGGACACTGCAAACCAACATGGTTAATACGTAATTGTTGAATCAAAATATGATGTTATTTCTTGGACAAAGCGTAACCTTATTTCTAGACGAACCACTTTTAAAAAATTTTTATGCCACAAATTACATACCGACTCACAAATTCATTTACAGATTCGACCACATTATAAAATAAATAATTCAAGTAAATGTAATCATCTGGAAGAGGTGCTTACTCCATCGTTGCACATTGTTCCATCTTGGCAATACTTCGAACTAAATAGAAATAAAATTTGTTAAAATAGCGATGAAAAAACAGGCTATTTATTGTACAGTAATGCATAGTATCCAAAGGAATGGAAACAGCAATGCAGTTACAGTAATGCATAATCACAACGGCCGTATAAGAGTGATGCGAAGGTTAACGTACAGTAATGCCATAATGTTCACAAGAACTTTAAAACATCAATAAATCACTTGAAAAATTTCATTAGATTATATGAATAGTAACGTGGAATCAATCTTGGATATCTTCCGAGTGAACAAGAGGGCTAACAAATGAATGTCTTGAAAATATGCTGAAAATATTAAAAAAGCAGAAAATGTAAAAAGACGAGAAATTAAGACAGTGACAAATGATCGAAGTATTTTGGGATACTCCCTTTATAATTATTCACTTTTGAATAGTTCTCTAATAGATTCATAAAAGTAAAGCCTACAAAAGAGGCATTGAGATATATGTAGTCTGGAAAGTTTCAAGAAATGACAAGGACAAAAACAAAAATGTCTCATTTCCTTTTCTAAAATCAATGATATCGAACATTCGAGATATTATGCACAAACACCTATCATACCTTATATGGTTTATACACATTATTTGGAATCAGTACTGCTTGATTATTCATTTTTCTCTTCGAAGTATAAAGACCTGGAAGCAAATTTCACGTAATTTTAGAAAAAGCTACAAACTATGTTGAACGGCTGGAATTAAACGATACAATCATCATGAAGCAACTGACTTTTGAGTGACATACTTACGTACAACCACGTTGAATATGAACTCTAAACTTTCTTCCGAACGGTCACTTAAGAAAGTGATCCGTTCTTCTCGATAACATACATACATACATAAGACTACGTCGAATATGAACATTGAACTTCTTTTCGAATAGTCACGTAAGATAGAACTCCCTTTTCGAGTAGTCACGTAAGATAATGATCAATGCTAACCTCTTACAAACTCAACGTAAAACCTTACGCATACGCTATACGCCCCGCAACCATCATACCAGCATCAATTCGCACGACTGATCCATTCCAAGACATTTTTTAGGATACTCAGCTTAAATGCGTGCATTTCTGTAAAAAACGTGACTTTCTATAATTTGAGTGTCTTGGCGCGAATGGGCTAACTTGAATTTTTGCCCATTCTGTAGCTCGCTCATAAGCGCAAGCTTACAGTACATCTTTTTCCATTGTGGTGAGATAAAAGCGCTAGATTTTCAGATGTGAAATGGATCCGATTTCCTTCCCTTTTTTCTTTTTTGCTAAATTAACGTTTGATTATTGGGAAAAATAAAGAACTAGCAATAATTGAAAATGTAAGAAATTAGGAAAAAATGATTTCTGAATTAATGAAAGAGATAATGTTTTAGTACATAAATTTATATACAAAATATACACACTATCCCAATTTATTTTCATTATCTCATCCGGATCCGGAGTTAACTTATATTCCTGGCATAACGGTTTACTTTATACTGTGTAATGTGTTCTTTATCCGCTATATATTCAATCCATTTAGATCCAGTAATAACACAACAACAGAAGCAATTTTAATGGTAGTAGCAGTGTGGGTTCTCAAGTCCAGAAATTTGTTTCATCTCTTACCTTTAAGCATTCCTAATGCCTATCCGTTGTATACAGCTTCAACAAGAAACGGAAAACATCAAGCTGACCTCCTGATGTTGTTTCTAATAATCAATTTGGAGGTTAAATATTTCAATGTATGGAATATTATGTAGTAACGAAAATATTACGTAATCTTCCAGATATTTAGTCTTGATCGTATGATTTGTTTATGTTTCCGTACAGTTCTTTAATAAGTTTCGTACCCATTTTTCTCTAACAATCACCGTCTCTTGCACTGAATATATTCTTTATCATTGCTACAGTAACCTGAGACAGCAGGTTTATTTGATATCTTCAGACATTTTTATTGGGAAATATCAAGGAGCAATTAAAAGATCAGAAGCATGAAAAGGATAAATTCGAAAAAACTATGAGCTCTAAAAAAATGATGTGGGTGTGGTTCCCTGAAGAACCTCTAGTGTAATTGCTTCAAATGCTTCTAGAAAGCATTACGTATTCCTGTTAAAACTCTTGGGTTTATACTAATTTTTAGGTGCTAAAAATGTTGGAATGTTGGCTAAAAGAATGAGGAAGACCTAAAATCTCAAAAAGAAGCTTTGCTTAAGGGTATCAATATCGGACTCTGGCTAAGAAAAACGATCGATTAAAACAGAGGGTAAGTGTACAAGAAAAGGATTTGTAAATTGGGAACAGAAATTAACTATGTGAAGGTATCGGTTTGGGAAATAAATTGGTATGGCAAATAAAATCTATTCCGATCAATTTTGGTGACCGTATCGCTCTACAGATCCACAAGAACTGGAACAGATGCAGTGCAATGACATAGTCACAACAACCGTATAAGACAGATTAACGTACACAACGCGTACTATTCACAGAGCCTTATAAGAATTAAAACGTTGATAAACCAATAGACAAAATTTCATTGGGCACGAAGAGTAACAAGGAATCTGCTTTGGTGATCTTCCGAATGAGTGAAAAGCGTAATAAATGAATCTCTTGAAAATAATGCTG